TATCTCTCACACTTAAACTGAAAAAGGACATGTCCTCAGTTCTAATTCCCCCCCCCAGACTGTCCCAAACACTTCTGGGGGTGGAGTCTCGAATACTCCGTTCGCCATACTTGACACGGAGCAATTCCAAAGTACTAGCATTTAAACTGGTGGTAGAAGTACTCCACTCGTCCTCATCAGCAATCCGATGTTCCCACCACTTTTCAAATGTTCCAGAGGCCAGCAGCAAAAAAGTGTGAAACCTTTCCTCCAATATCGTCCCTCAACTCCAGTCCTAATTTTAGTTCTTTCCGGATTTTCGGCCTTACTACACGTTGAGAATCCTCCTCCCGCCTTGCGTTATCGAATTGTACACCTTCAACGGGAACCATAGCTTCGTCCAGTTGGGTTGAGGGTTGCTCAGGCAATGCATCAGCTCCACCAGCCGCAGCAGCCGCCCCCTCCTCCAAAGCGTCTACCAAACCCACATCAACATTGGCACCTTCAGCCATAATGCCATAAAGGAATAAGAAATGGAAAGAAGAGAGCTGACTTTCCTCTCAACTGCCCATTGGGTCAAATGCGTGGATGAAGGAAAACCAAAGCTCCTCGATGTTTGGAAAACAATTTTTTTTTATTCTTTCTTGTGCAAGGACACCAAGAACACAGTCAAGCAATATAAATAAAATCAGCTCTAACCTGAGTTTAACAGAACCCTGTATTTATAGAGACTTCCCATTATTACCCAGTATTATGTTATTACCCCTCATTATCCAATCATAGTCATTGTAGTCAATCCCCATAGCTTAATTAATCCACCATTAGCTACATTCACATCAACATGTCCGCAACAAAACGGCTCCCCATTAGTACATTCTTTGTGTGTACTCTCCAGGATCTTTGCTGGTGTATCGGAATCGCCACCCTTCCGGATCACTACCATCATCGGAGCCCCGTTGGTCGCTTGTGTTGTGTGGTCGCGACAGAAACTCTGAATATGAGGCTACTGATAATCAGTTTTATTTTTGGCCAAAGCAAAACTGGGTGACCTTTAATCTTCCACCTTAAACAGCAAGGCAGAGAGAAAAGCAGGCGCTTTCAAAAACTTTTTTCTTGAACTTCTTATAGTTTACACAATTTACACAGATCATCATAAGTGTTAGAAATATTATTTCATATCATGCAAACTTCATAATTTGCTCAGCATTCTGAAAACAAAGAACCTTAGAAGGCAAAAGGAATACATTTTCTAGCACAGAATACATTTTCAGAGCTTTGTTAGGGGGTGCTATCTCACATTAAGTTGCTGACAATACACAAACAGGCAGAATTCACATTTTGTATTTCACAAGTTACTTTAGCTAGGCTAAGCTTGGCAATTATGATAGAGTATATTCATTAACTGGCAGAGACATGGTTAACAAAGTCAACAAGTGAGTAAGCATGGCAACAGACCAGCCAATGGGAGCTGAAAGACTGGGTGTGGTTTGGCTCTGTGTGCTTTGCTCAAAATTGAAACTGAAAACTAACTTGTCTTGCTTGCTTGCTGAAATTCAATTCTGTTCGGAGCCCTCTGAGCTGCTGCCTGTGTATTTGTTTGTTACATTGAAAGAATCTATAAATGGTAAACTTTACTCATATTAATATGTTTATAAAGAAGTTAATGATTCTGCTGAATCAGTTTGTGTGTTTTCTGGACATGAATTTATGCTGCAAATTCTAACAAATTAACCTAGAGGCTTTATTTTTGCAGTTGGCACATTAGATTACAATGGAGTTCAACTCAGCAGGGAATCAAATGAGTTAGGCACACTCTGTGTACGCTCTAATCCTTTCAGAGCCATCTATAGTTGGCTTCCTCTTTCCATAAACTCGTTATCTCTTTAAGGGCCCACATCTGCTGTGGGCTATTAAGAAAGACTGGGGGCTGCTTTCTGCCTCTAAGAACATGTTTCTCCATTTCTCCTTTTGGGGAAATATAATATTCTGCTTCTTTTAATATTCCCCAAATATTTTATTCTTCTAGGAGGGGGAGGGGGCTTTCCATACTTGGTACTCGAATATTGTTATGCCTAAAAGTGGTACAATCTGTGAAAAGGTTGAAAAGCACTGGTCAGGACCACCTTAGCGTTAGATCTCCACAGAGAAAATCTACCTATGTGATTGCTAAAAATTGACACTGACTTGATGGCATATAATCAATAGCGCTGATATATTAGGTTTTAAATCTATTTAAAAACACGAGATTCGAACCGCGTAGTTTTAGAAGAAGAGCCTTTAAGCTCCTGAACAATGACTTTCAGAAAACGGAGAAGGTTTCTCTCCTGGGTCCCCACAAAACAGCCACAGCTAGCGAAGAGTGGAGTGGAAGCGCTGCCGTTGCTGGGTTTGCGCATCTCCCAGAGTGGGACGGCCATCGGTCCCGCCCCAGAAAGCAGCTCGGCTGGTTGGTTCTTCCTCCTCCGGGTCTCCCCTGCCCTTCCTTCCCCTTTCGTGTTCTGCCAGCTGTGCGAGTGAGACGGGTGGCTCATGGAAGTCGGAAGGCTGGCGCGCGGGCCGCCGGGCGAAAGCCAGGAGGAAGCGAGGCTGAGCGGGAGGCGCCGGCGGTTGAAACCCGTGTCAGAACCGTTAGCAATCTGCTCCATGGTTTTCCTGATGTTGGCGGCCACGATGTCGGAGGAGGTGGGGGGCGCTGAGGCTGCCCAGAGCTTCGGCTACGGCGACGAGAAGTGCCACTACTACGCCGGGGGCGAGGTGTATCCTGGCGAAGCATCGCGAGTGCCCGTCAAAGATCATTCACTCCACCTCAGCAAGGCCAAGAGTAAGTGCACAAAAAGGCCGCCGCGCCATATGGCCGAGAGAAGGGGACGGGGCGAAGCGGAGCTCCCCGAGTCAGCCTCTGCTTTGTCTTTTCAATCCTTGAATGGCAGAAAAACCCGAAGGCCCCGTTTTCTTCCCTTCGCCTTAGCTGTACCATTCCTAATTGCAAGTTGGGCTTCCTGTCGTTGATGGAGTCAGTCCGCAAACTTGAAAGGCCATCCTTGTCGCACAGCACATTTGGTCTTCCTCAGTCAGGCTCCAATAATGGTTTGCGCTTAGGGTGGGAGGCCGTGGGAAGTTCACATCTGGAGTTCTATTAGGGAGAAAGCAGATGCCTTGCATGGTAACAACAAAAGCCCATGGTAGAGCTTGAAAGATATGTACTGTGATGCCAGTGTTCCTTCGGGACAAAAGTTGTCACAGCAAGTCTCTTCTTGCTCACTTGTCATATATGATGACAACAGTATGGAGCTAATAAAAAGACTTTCTTCAAAAACTCAGAAAAGGATTGAAATATGAACTTTGATAGCCAGAATGAGCAGAGAAGAAATGGGTTAAATTGAACAGCAATCACAAATATTGTATGTTGTTCCAAATAACTGCTAAGTAAAACTTCAGGGAAAGGACATATCAGGAAAAATCAACCATATAAAGGCGCAGGAGAATCAAAGTCTTTCTTTTAGAAACACTTGTTTGGGGCCTAGTTCTGAAATGGTAGAAAAATATTACTACACTTAATACATTTCTAAAAATTTCTAATGTTTCATGGGAAATTCCAAGGACTAATTATATTAGAGTTCATAATAAATTAACTAAATGGCACGACAGATAAAACCTATTCTTTTAATCTGACATATACCTACTTGACTTTCTTTGTAAGTTTTACTAGAATTATTTGCAAATCTCCTACACCGCCTTATTTCTTGGTTGCATCATTAGATTATAGGCAAATGTTTTAGACAGCTATTTTTATAGATTAAAAATTGTTATTAATCCAATACAGAGTTCTTGGGAAATAATTTTAAAATATTAGAAATTTTAAAAATATCCATACTGCATACATATTCTGTTACAAGCATGTTCCAATAACATCCTCAGTTATCTTTCTAACTTACAGTATTATATACTGAGAGTATACAGGGCAGTATAAAAGAACGTAGATAGGTATAAAATTGCTCAGTTAAGAATTTAGTTTTTCTTTTCTAACCTAAATTATGATTCAGTCTCTATTTGTTATGATCTCAAGTCTGATCTTTGTTTCAGTAGCATTAGGTACCTGCTTCTATATAATTTTACATATTCTGTGTGTATATATTAAAATTATGTAATTTGTGTACATGTGTGTATATATAATTGTGAAGAGTAATTTTTTTCCAGAAATTTGTCAGCATATTTAATCACTATGAACATTTTTGTAGCATACAATATACTGTCAACATAATCCATTTCGATTCATTGCCTTAACAAAAAGGCAATACCCATAGCCTTATTACCACAAATATCTTCTATTTTATTTTAGACTTTAAATATTGCCAACTGTCAAAGACACTCAGTGCTTTATAATAAATGTCTGTAATACTTTTACTAGGCAACTATTTTTACATAGCTTAACCTTTACTATATTTTTAAAAAATTAAACTGATTTTAAAATAATTTTATTTCATTTTATACATTCCAAATAATACCTCATAGAACGAAGCTTAGCCATTATTCCCAAACAATAAAAGCATTTTCAATCCTTAAACATTTAGGGTGGCATTTCTACATATATCAGTTTTAAAAACTGATAATTCATGAATTTATTTTAGTTTAACAATTCTATATGTTGCTGCAATAAATAATAAAAGCAAAAGTTAAAAGAAATGTATAAAAATTTGCCTACTACTCAGTTTTTGAAACAAAATTGCACTTTTGATTTACTAGAATGAAAATATTACCCATTCACTATTTATTTATTATTTATTTGAAATAAAATCAAAATGTTGATTTTAAATGTTTTCATATTTTGTTTGTTGTTGTTTTAGTTTCTAAACCAGCACCTGACTGGGAGGGAACAGCTGTCATCAATGGAGAGTTTAAAGAACTGAAATTAGCAGATTTGGAAGGAAAATACGTTATTTTCTTCTTTTATCCTCTTGATTTGTAAGCAAATGTGTTAGTACATCATGTTTATTAAGCAAAAATATTTAATAGGTATTTCCATACATAGACAAAAAAAATATATGAAAGGAATTAAGGGATTTTTCCCCCATGTTGAATAGCAATAGTATATAATAGACTTATACTGCCTCACAGTGCTTTACAGCTCTCTCTAAGCAGTTTACAGAGTCAGCATCAACAATCTGGTCCCTCAACAAGCTGGGTCCTCATTTACCGACCTCAGAAGGATGGAAGACTGAGTCAACTTTGAGCTGCTCAGAATCAAACTCCTGGAGTGGGCAGTGAGCAAGCCCTACAGTACTGCCTTCTAACCACTGCGCCACCACGTTTTAATGTCTGAAAACATTAAAATGGGAGAAGGAATATATAGTACTGAAAATGGCCAGCTTTGAAGACTTTATCATTGTTGACTATTTTAAGCATGATTGATAATAAATGGAAGATATAAATCTGTGATACAGATTTTAGAATATACACAAAATATTTTACTTATTCTTGCAACTGTAAAATTGCAGAAGTTTACTAAGTTATATTGAAAAAAGTTGAATATGTGAAAATGATTTATTTATGTTACCAAATGAGTGCTTATTAATATCTTAATGTCATAAAATACACAGTTATATTGGCACTGTAAGGATATGCCCATGCATAGCACTTGTCTGAAATGTTCAGAATAGAATATTAGTACCCAATATAATAAGGGTACAGTTCAAAAAAAAATTCTTAAACACTATGGAAAAGATATTCTTGCATTAGTAATATAGCATTTAAAATAATACAGCATTTAAACTATTATTTCAGTTTTAAAATATCTAATTTCAATCTCTCTTCAGTACATTTGTGTGTCCAACAGAAATAATAGCATTTAGTGACAGAATTGAAGAATTCAGAGCAATTGATGCTGAAGTGGTAGCTTGCTCAGTAGATTCACAGTTCACTCATTTAGCATGGTACGTTCTTTTTCCTATCTTTTTATTTATACAAATTATTGGTAGTTAACCATTCAGCTTTGTAAAATTCAAAATGTGATACCTGAAAATTTTATTATAAAATCAATAGGATTTCAATTTATAATCCTTATGCCATAAATTTTAAATTTATCTGAAGTAATTGTATGTATGAGTCACGAAAATAACATTATTGAGGTATCTCAACAAGGGTGAGAACCACAGGGTGCCTCACTCTTTCATTAAGAATTTTTTTTGCTTAATTTTATACAATGGAACTGAATTCTCATTTTTGTGATTAAATATGCTTTGGGAATATGTTTATTTATGATACCAATAATTATCTATACAAGATCAATGTAAAGTATAAAATAATGCTTTAATTGAATATTTGGCTACTTTTTATTGTAATAGGATAAATACACCTAGAAAACAAGGAGGACTTGGACCAGTGAAGATACCTCTTCTTTCTGATTTAACACACCAGATTTCAAAAGACTATGGAGTTTATCTAGAGGACCAAGGACACGCTCTTAGGTATAATATTAACTATTCTGGTTTTTTTTATACATATAGTGCAGCAGTGACAAATGAAATACAGAATGGCTCAACTTTTTAAATCAAATATTTGTTATTATATCTTGTGTGGTGCAACACTTAATTATTTAGTTAATAATTACCAAAATTGTTTTAGTAACCCCAGATCTATGTATTCAAATAATGGTGGAATTAAACATAGTACAAAGTATTTAGATGATTTTTAATAATTTTGATCTAGTATAAAAGATCTGGTATAAAAAAGGGTGCAGCAGATACATCATTTGCTGTTTTCAAAAGTGATTTTTTTTCTTGTTCATTTTTTTCACCTTTTCACAGAGGTCTGTTTATTATTGATGACAAGAAAATTCTTCGACAAATAACAATGAATGATCTTCCTGTTGGCAGATCAGTAGATGAAACCCTTCGTCTAATACAAGCATTCCAATATACTGACAAACATGGAGAAGGTACTTCTCTATTCAGTTTTGTGCAGTAGTTAAGGCGCTGGCCTAGAAACTAGGAGACTCTGAATTCTATCCTGTCTTAGGCATGAAAGCTGGCTGGATGATTTTGGGCTGATCACTCTCTTTCAGTCCAACTTACTTCACAGCTTTGTTGTTGTGAGAAAAATAGGAGGAAGAAAGAGCATTATGTGTGTTCGCTGCTTTGAGTTACTTATAAAGTAATAAAGATGGGATAAAAGTCTAATAAATGTTTTGATAGTAACAGTAATTAAATACAAAGTTATAACACTTGGAATATGGTTCATTATTCCCTCAAAATTCCAAACTGGAATAATCCTGAAATTGTAGTATCTTTCTCCTCACTATACAAAAAAGGAAGCAGTAGGCATTCCCTTTCTTTATATTGTTATTCAGATTTTTAAAAATCCTACTTATATTCATAGATCCATAATAACCAGAACTATACCATTAAACTGGTATCATTACTAATAGACACTGCCACAGATGGTATCAGATCTATGTCAAATGTGTAATCTATCCTTTTTACATCTTCATCAAGATTATTCACATTTGATCAGCAGAATAACTAAGTACCTACTATTTAATTTGATATTTCTGATCTATGTCACTGGAGAAGCTGGGGTATTTTGCTTGTATTGAGAAAATATATTGGAAAGTGCTATAGATAACCTACTTTCATTGTCTAAACTGCATTTTCTGCTTGTAAAACATTACTAATATTCAAATACATAACATGTTTCTTTGTGTGTTGAAATTAAACACATGTACCCAGAAACAAGTCATTGGTTTAAGAATTACAGCATAATAAAATATGCAGAAGTTAACTTTGAACTTGGTTAAACATTCATCTAATTAGAAAATAAGATCTTTATACATATGCACAGCAAAAATGAGATGTTCATGTTTATATCACTCTTGATCTTCAATAAGTTTATGAAGAAATAAACTAAAATGTAATTTAGTGCTGAAGCAATGCCTATATCCTAGAATATATGTTCTAGATACAAAGGGCTATCTGAAAAATTCTCAGCCTAGTAGGCCTGGGTACTTAGAATTAGGACTTCACAGTCAAATTTTTATTTGCAGACAATATTTTTTTAATCTTTATAGTAGATACTTGGCCTCAATAATTCTACAGAACAAGATTAAAAAGTCAAGTTTATTTGTTAATTTTTAACCAACATATTAACATCTTCATTATTTTCTCAGTTTGTCCTGCTGGCTGGAAACCAGGCAGTGAAACAGTAAGTTGTATTTTTTAAGCATTACCATTTGAAAAATGCCTATTAACACACACAGTCCTAACAGAAAATGTCACATGGGGAAATGTCACCCATATGCCAAAAATAGAATGAACGTTTGCTGCAATACTACTGTGACATTTTACGCGCTTTAGGTACATCTCATTACCCTGTCATCTTGCTTGGCATAGTGGCATTTAGGGCCTATGCCAGACCTGAACTACTAATTATTTACATCTATTCAAATGCTGAACTTTCTCTCAGGTATGCTTGAAGCATGTGGCAATAATTCCTTCACCACATGCAAATGTTATAATATCAAGAAATTATTGCAGTTTTCAATTCAGTCAGTCAAGATAGAAATTCAGAGTGAGCAAACTATTTCTAATGCTTTATTTTTCATTTTTTGAATTCTTTGGAAAAATATATTTCAAAAAGAAGTATACCACTTATATAAATATTTTCTTAAGAGTTGATATTGTAGATTGAATTAATATCCAAATTTTTCTATAGAATTCTATAGCACTTCAACAGAAAATTATTATTTGAGTTAGATGTAGATTGCGAAAACACCTGAGCCAGTATGTTTTAGGCATTTTTTTTCTGCCACTATCACCATGCCTTCCTCAAATCTTTAAAAAAAAACCTGTGTTATCATTTCTTATTTTTACAAAACTCCTTAACTGGCATTGGCCATCGCCATTTTTAAAGAGAATATTGTAAGTATACTTATAGTTAGGCTGGATGGGACTAAATAAAGCGAAGAGGCAAAACAGCTATTAAAGAATTTCTAATTTCCATTTTTTAAATAAAGTAGAATTTATATAAGATCAACATAATGTAGAGTGTTGGTATGTTGATAACTGTATCTGTTTTAAATCAATCTGAAGATTCTTTGAAAATGTGGTGATAAGGAAAAGAGTTGCAAATGAAGTTTTTTAAATATATAATGTAAGAAATAATTTTAGGCTATAGATTAATAATATAGTTTTTCAAAACCAACCTATCAAAAGACTGTCTTTTGATAGTACTACTTTTTTTTCTTTTGCAGATAATTCCAGATCCTGCTGGAAAATTGAAGTATTTTGGTAAAGTGAACTGACTGCTTTCTTCTAAACAGACAACTTTCAACTAAACATTATAAATAAAATTTCCATTAATTTTGGTAATTTCCTTGGGATTTTTTGTTCTTTTTTATAGTAATTTTATTAAAATTACAATTAAAAAGATAAACTAAAACAAAGTAAAAGAAAAGAATAAAAAGAAAATGCAGTAAGGAAAGCAAATAGAAAAAAGGAAAGAAACGAAATATAGTAAATTTATAAAGTCATATATAAATTACTTTTGTCTTCGTCACATGAACAATTTCAGTAATACCTTCTTTTAAAATACAACAAATAATCTCTTTTTCCCATATCCCATCTTTTAACTATAAACAAATCCTTAAAGCTTGTTCAGTCTTGATCAGCAAAGGTTCATTAAATGTTACCGCAAATAATGTACCTATTTTAAACATCAGATAACTATATATTCTTTCCTTTTACTTCTAACCATCTTAATTTTAGTCCCTTCAAATGATGTCCTAGAACTTAATTTCATTTTTTCTTTGTCCCGTTTAACAAAATTCTTCAAACCTTAAACAAGTATCTTTTGTAAATCCAATATTGGAAAATTTTCCAGATCATTCTTTTGGTTTGTATTTGTATGTCCTCTTTAATTATTAAGACATCAACCAATTTTATTTCTATGTCCAGTGTGGCAACTTTTTCCATATGATCCTTGTGTCCTGTTATTTTAAAATCCTGACCATATCAGTCTGAGTTTTGTCTGATAAAAGCTGTTCCTCTTCCATAATATCTTTAAAATACAATCTATCTATAGAGACAGACATTCTTAAAATCAAATTCTGGGTCCATTGTTAAAAATTTCTTTTAATATGTCTAGTATTAAAATATTTTGTTCCATTCTATGTTAATGTAAGTGTTCTCCTTTAATTGTAAACTTTAGTATCTTCTGTTTCCTTCTAGTAGCTAACCTTCAAAGTCTCATCCTATAATTTTTTTAAAGAGAATTCAAAACAAAAGCACTCTCCCATGGGGAAAGTAAAATAATTAATTCCAATTATTTCAGATTCTTAGTTTGCAATTTTCCAAAATTAAAGTTCTCATTACCCTTTTGCTGTTTATTCCTAAAAAAATTTAAGGTCCTTAAATTTGTATTTAAAACTTCCTTCACTAGAACTGAAGAAAACTCACCCTGTGCTGTAAAACATGTTGATCCAAAGGATCTTAAAACAAAATTCTGAAAATGATCAAAAAAGGAAGTATGTGAATCCACGTACTTTAAAAGTACTTGATCACAGTTTGAGCAAAAAGATGGTCCAGGAGGGTTACGGTGAATTGAAGTTAACTTGACTAAAAGGAAGGCTGTGATAGAATAAAGAGCTGGCAAGTAGACTGGTTTTTCATAATATCTCTCCTGACAAGATGTCATGCAATCACCTGCAAATGCTCTGTACAGTTGCTCCTTGCAAGGAAACTGGGGGATTTAGAGCTGTGTATGATGAGGGAATAGCCATATTTTTTATTCGTTGTTCTGCTACAGTATAAAATGCATGTGTGGAGGGAAATTGAAATAGTGAAGCACTATGAAGTGGTGTATTAAGTTAAATCTCAGAGCTGCCGACCTCGCATCTCTTGATTGGCACCTTCTGTTGACAGGTTGTATAACTGCAGAAGACTATTATAACACTTTTTTGTTTGAAGTCAATAGTGTCATTAATCTATATGTACCTAAAATAACCCCTAAAGCCAAAAAACAAATTACTCATAACAATAAGGAAGTTACAATCCAAGAAAAAATTTATTTGGCAAGAAAAAAAAACTGGCTATGTAGCTAACTTTAAAAACTGCTACAAAACCTTATGCCGCCATATAAAGGCTGAGTGTGCCAATCACCATTGCAAACAGGAGGAAGAGCTGTTAAACCCGAACACCTCCCGAGCTTTCTATAATTTCGTAAATGCCAAACTGAAAGACTCAGAAACTATCCCACCCCCTAAAAGAGCCTATCTAGTAAGATGAAGCTGTTAAGGCCAACCTCTTTAATACGTTCTTCAGTTCAGTCTTCGTTGACAGCAGTGGCTGCTGCCCCACATTTCCTAGTTGTACCACAACAAATTGTAATAATTTACTACATATTGATTTTACAGTAGATAACGTTGAAATGGCACTAAGTAACCTAAAGCCAGTTCTATCTATTGGCCCTGATGGAATATGTGCCTACTTTTTGAAAAAGTTTGCCACTGCCTTAGCTGAACCTCTATGCACAATCTATGAGGTATCTTTTAGAAGCAGCTCCTTGCCCAACTTATGGTCATTAGCCACGGTCATACCTATTTTTAAAAAGGGAGAGCCTAATCTAGTAGAAAATTACAGACCAATCTCACTGTGTTGCATCACCTGTAAAGTCATGGAATCAATTATAAACCAATCCATCACCCTCCACTTAGAAACAAATAACCTGCTTTCTAACAAGCAGTTTGGTTTCAGAAAAAATTTGTCCTGAAATCTGCAACTCCTACACGGCAGAAACATTTGGACTGCACATCTTGACTAGGGTAAAGCAATAGATGCAATTTACATAGACTTCTGCAAAGCCTTTGATTCAGTGGTGCATGAAAAACTACTGTTGAAACTAAATTCTTACTGCATCTCCAGATCCCTGTACAAGTGGATAGCTGCGTTCCTGTCAAACAGGCAACAAATAGTCAAAATAGGGAGGGTACCAGTTGACAGCAGTGTCCCCCAAGGCAGTGTTTTAGGACCTGCACACTTTCTGCTTCACATCAACACCAATGCAAACATATTAAAAGCAGCTGTGTCCTCTTCGCCAATGACATAAAATTATTTAACACCACTGACAATGCTGCTGCCTTACAACGAGACCTTGACTGTGTGTCAGAATGGTCACATAATTGGCAACTCCAAATTTCAACTAATAAATGCTCTGTCCTACACATTGGCAATAAAAATCAGAACATCAAATACAAGTTGGACAGAAATGATCTCGTAGGCGACCCTTACTTTGTCAAGGACCTAGGAGTACTCATCTGAAACGATCTAAGCCCCAGAGCTCACTGTAACAGCATTGCCAAAAAGGCATTAAGAGTTGTTAACCTTATTTTGTGAAACTTCTTCTCCGGTAACATTGAATTGCTAACTAGGGCATACAAAACCTTTGCCAGACCAACTCTTGAATACAACTCGTCCATCTGGAATCCACGCTGTACATCGGATATTAACACAATTGAGCAGGTTCAGAGGTATTTCTCAAGAAGAGTACTCCACTCCTTTACTCATAATAGAATTCCCTGTGCCTACAGGCTTGAAATTTTGGGCTTAGACAATCTGAAACTGCGCTGCCTGCGGTCCAATCTAAGCATAGTTGTCTGCTACAACATCTTGCCTGCCAACAACTTCTTCAGCTTCAACCATAATAATACATAGGCAAACAATCGATACAAACTCAAGGTAAACTGCTCCAAACTCGATTGCAGAAAATATGACTTCAGCAACGGAGTGGGTAACGCCTGGAATGTTCTACCCGACTCCATTGTTACAGCTTCAATCTCAAACTCTCTACCGTGGACCTCACCCCATTCTTAAGAGGTCCTTAAAGGGGGCTTGCATAAGTGCACCAGCGTGCCTACCGTCCCTTTCTTACTGTCCCCATTTATCTGTATTTACTTCCTTTGTTCATGTTTATGTTCATACACTATTCTTGTTATCTTGTACATGTTTGACAAATAAATAAGTTATTTCTACTTAATTAAAAGCCATGTGCAAGGACCAACAATTACCTAAGGTTGAATCCAAGAGATTATCCAAGTGAAGTAAATTCCAAAGTAAACCCCTGCAGCCCTAATCAGGATATATATATAATCTGTAGGTCTAGGTGTGTTCGGGTCTTTTCCCATGTAAGATTAAGAGTATCTTGGCGACGTTTCGGTGAGGTCCCACTCGCCATCCTCAGGCTGGTGCTTTCGGCTTCGTACCAGTGCAAGCAGTGTGTGATCGGAGCTGCCGTCTCTATAAATACTGGTGGTGGGGGCTGGTGTGCTGGGCTGGTTGGCTGCGCTGCTGCCTCTTGATTGGTTGATGGAGTTGATGTTGGTATAATGGGCTGTGTGATGGCCTTGTGAGTTTTGTTGTGGAGATATCCTGGATCTTGTGCTGTAATCTCCTGGGTCGTTTGTTTTGTAGTGATCTTTTTTCCATTAGCCTCTCATGTTTTAACGGCTTGGGTAATGGGTTGTGTGATGGGCTTGAGAGTTCTTATATTGTGGTTTCCTGGGTCCTGCGTTGTAATCTGGGTCGTTTGTGTTTTGATCTCTTTTCCATTAGCCTCCTGTGTAGTAACAGCTTGAGTAATGGGTTGTGTGATGACCTTGTGAGACTTGTTGCTGTGGTATCCTTGGTCTTGTGCTGTAATATCCTGGGTCATTTGCTGTGTTTCAACTTCTTGAGTTCTTGTGCTGTAATTTCCTGAGTTTTCTAATGTGATATCCTGAGCGGGTGGCTGTGATGTAGCATTCTGGGTTTTAGTCTGGCTTTGAGTTTGGGGTCTGGGTCTGTGTTCTTGGCGTGTGTCAGCTTGTATATATAATTATTCAAATTATTACTATTCTATAACTAGTGCTTCTCACTGTTCTGAAAAATGTTATACTATTTCCCATATAGTGGATCCTTATACTTGATATGCTTACCAAAATCTTCACAGTGGTTTTTAGAAGAGAATTGACACTTGAAAATTTCCATAGTTGTAGCCAATATTATTTTGAACTTAGCATGCATTTTTAATGACCTTAAAATCCAACCAAAAGAAAAATAAACAGAATATGGTTTCTAAATTATATTAATTCCTAGCAATCTAATTTTTTAAATACCAAATCTATCATCTTGGACCTTTTCATAACATATAATTCTGAGTCTGCCATTGATCTATGTATTATTATTATCTCATTTAGTGAAGAAATGGATCACTGTATTCTCCATTAATTGGAGCTTTCAACTCATAACGAAGACAGAGCATTGTACTTGAACATGATTGATCAGTATACTTGATTCAGACAAAAGATATTTCAGTCATGTCATAAGATCCACTAATTAACATGTTTTGTTTTTAGATATAAATCAATATTTTGTAAAAATTATTCAAGGAAACGTAAAAAAATCTAAGAAGCATAATTAACAAACTGTGTTGACCTGGGGCAAGGCACGGAGGCAACACAGCCTGCTGATAGTTCGAACTCCCCTTTATTGCTCCAACTTTCCCCCAAACGTTCCCAAGTTTATGTTAAGTCCCAGAGCAAAGCGCTCAGACATACCTCCGGCAGCCTCTGACTGTGAGTAGTCCAGGAAAACACTGTTAGCACAATGGCTTCAAGGCAAGAAGTCCAGCGAGGCAAGGAAACAAAGCAGCAATAAAGCAAGAAGTCCAGTGAGGCAAAGAAACAAAGCAGCAATAAGTCCAGCGAAATCTAGACGTCAGCAATGGCGCACAAAACTCCACGAATTCAGCACTTGTTCCCAACAAGTGCCCCTCCTCAAAGCACCTCAAGTCTCAGTCCCCAGGTTGCCTTGTGAAGAGGGGCAGGGCGCTCTCCTCCCGAGTCATCAGGTCAGCCTGCACTGCTCCTGCCTTCTCCCCACTTTCCGTGCTTGAGGATCAGGAGGGGGTGGTCCTTGTCATCTGACCTCTGTCACTCCTTATCTCCACTGTCTGCCTTCTTTTCTCCTTCTCTCAGACATCCTGCCCCCGTTCTTCCCTGCTGGCAAGCTGTCCCAGGCCCAAAGGACCTGGGGCTGCCTCATCCTACTCCTCCCCACATTCCACCGGAGCCAACGAGGCTGCCCCCTCCACCTCAGTTGGCCCCAGCTCTGGCTCATCTTTGGCTCTGATGGAGCCATGACACAAACGTTGTCTCATTTGGATTTAGCTTTAAGCAGTTCATTCATACTAAGTATTCTATTAATGACAGCAGAACTATCCTGAAGTAAAAGAAAATAGAAATTGCGAACATAGAGAGCTATTTGTACAGGAACATGGAAACAAAATGTTACAAAATAAATACCTGCACACCCCTACCTACTGAAAATTCAGTGATGCTTGCTGTAGTCTTAGAACAAAGTAGCACACCAGCCTGTTGCCAATATTGTTCAGGTGAAAAGCTGGAATAAGTGCCCCGATTTAATCCTATTTAAGTAATTCGCAATTCAAATATCTGCTTCAAGTTTTAATAGTCATTTTACTCAATGTTGGTAAACTTAAGTATAAAAGAGTTATTTAATAGCCTAGAAAGTATTAATAACTCAGATTTAAAAATTCAGAGTCCATATTTCCTTATAAACTACAAACATTACTATGATGTACATAAAAGGTCGTGATATTTCTCAGTCTATTTTAATTGCATGGTTTTCAAACTTTGAAACTTTGAGATAGTTTTTTGTAATTATTTTTCTGTCAAGAAAGCTCCTGAATATTTTAGATCTTCTCAGAAGTTTCAGGTGATTTTTCCCCCTATTCTTACAATGCCAAGAAATAATCAGAACCATTGTTTTCTAATTGTGTGGGATCAAATCATCTGCAACATCATACTACAGATAAATTTTAATAATGATGGCAAGTCAATCTGATTTTCAGAGACGCTTATATGCTTCTGTTAGTTTTTTCTGTGAAAACTCTGAAGTTTCAAAAATATCTTCAAGATTCCTTGAGCATTAGAAAATCATTTTAATCCAACTGTGGCTCCCATGTGCTCACCACCTATGTGAAAAAGAAAGCGAAAGACAAACCAGGCAGAATGTCCATCCAGGAAAAAGAAAACGGAAAGGCAGAAAGAGCCAGGCAAAAAGTCACATCCTTCTACCCCTGGGTCACTTCACCCTTCCAGAGAGAAGCCAGTTTCAATCCAGTTTCTGGGGTGGAGCACAGAGTGGGGCACACAGGCAGCCTCCCCTGAGCAGTGCCAGCTGGAAATCAGGTGGCAAGGTAAACCCCTCCCCAAAAGCTCCAGGCACTAAAATAGGCCCATCTCTCTTCAGCAGCTGCCCAGGGCCACCAGAGGGCAAGGCCAGCATCTACCAGTACTGAAACGCAGTGGTGCAGGACCAAAGCAGCAAGGGGAGGAGGAGGCAGCAGCCACAGCCAGGCAGGTGTTCTGCTAGGTGGCAGCAGGAACCAAAAAAAGCCCCTCCAGCAGCGGACATGGCTGATGCATAGCGGTGATGGAGACCTTTCACTATCACTTCCCCCTGTCTCCAAAACAGCAGAAAGGGACCAGGTAAAGAGACTGAGCCTCCCACACCCATCCTCCATAGCATGGCATCCGACTTGGGAGGGGAGTGAAAGGGAAGAGGTGGGCTGTTAGCCAGGTCATTGAATGGGTGGGGGAGGTTGTAGTGGTCTGGCTGCGGGGGTCCTTAGGTACGCAGCTCCAGGGCGCATATGACTGTTCCCCCACCACCTGCTTCGTCTGACCTCGTGGCAGTACCACACGCCCTCCTGCCATTGCAGCCGCGAGCAACCAGATGATGGGACAGAGTAGGTGGGGTCTTAACTAGGGCTTATTTTTGGAGTGGGACTTATACTTATTTTTGTTAGTAGGTGCATGCATAAAAATCAAGCTAGGCCTTATTTTGGGGGTGGGTCTTATTTTTTTGGAAAACACGGTAATTTTAAAAAACTTTTAAAAAACAACTACCAATCAACACAATGAGATTTTTTATGGATCCAAAAGGAAAGGGGGAAAATATCTTAATTGGCCCAATATAGTGTCCCCACTTTATGTTGCATGCGTTGAAATAATGTACAAGTTTTGAAATAGGTATAGGAATTTTGGTAGAATACTCATTTTAATCGAAGCAATCCTGCCCAATAAAGAAAGCTGCAACTTGCTCCAGGATTCTAAATCTTTCTTTACTTGTTGGAGTAATTTGTCATAATTATTCTCTTTAAGTGATTTACATTGTGGTGTTAGCCATATTCCTAGGTATTTGACTTTATTTGTTACCTGTATTCCCATCCTTGCCTCTAATTCTTTTTTCTGATCTTCTGTTAGGTTTTTGGTCATTAATTTTGTTTTTTTCTATTGATTTTAAGTCCTGCAACTGCGCCGAATCGTTCTAATTCTTTTATTAAATTGTGTCCTTTTTCTATTGATTCTTCCAAAAAGAAGACCATGTCATCAGCAAACGCTTGTAATTTGTATTCTTCTGATATAATCTTCAGTCCTTTAATTTCAGAATTATGCCTAATGCGTGTTAAAAGTGATTCTAGAGCGAATATGAAGAGAAGAGGTGAGAGAGGGCAGCCCTGTCTAACACCTTTTTCTATTTTTATTGGACCTGTTTGTTCCCCATTTATTAATATATTGGCCTGTTGTGTGTCGTAAATTGTTGTTATAATATTTTCAAATTTAGTGCCAAGATTCATGTTGTAAATTTTTTGAATTAGAAAATGCCAATTTAAATTATCAAATGCTTTTTCTGTGTCTAAAAACATAAGTGCGAATTGTTTCTCCGGATGGGCTTCATAAAATTCTAAGACATCTATAACTGTTCTTAAATTGTTCTTTATTTGTCGAGACGGGAGGAATCCATTTTGGTCTTTGTGAATGTGTGGGTTTAAAACTTGTTTTAATCTATTAGCTATAATGGAGGAGAATAATTTATAATCAGCGTTTAGGAGTGAGATTGGTCTGTAATTATTAATATATCTGTGGTCAGCATCCTCCTTCGGGATCAGCGAAATCAATGCTCCCCTCCACGAGTCTGGCATCATAGCTGCTAGAAGTACCTCATTGAACACTTCCAACATCAGTGGTCCAATTAATTCAAGGGTTGCTTTATATAATTCTGCCGGAATCCCATCTGGTCCTAGAGATTTGTTATTACTTTGATTCTCTATTGCTGACTTCAATTCGGACCATGTAATATCTTTATTTAGTAATTCTATCCATTCCTCTCCAATTACTTTGTCATTCGTTTCCTCTAGATAGTTTCTTATTTTATCCTCGTTAACTTCTTCCTTTTTATATAATTTTTCAAAGTATTTGTGAGTAATATCTTTTTTCTTCTCTATCTCGTGTTGTAAATCGCCCTTCTCATCCATTAATTGGTGTATCAATCTCTTTTCTTTCCCTTTTTTAAGTTTATGGGATAACCATCTTCTTGGTTTATTTGCATACTCAAAATAAATTTGTTTGGTCATTTTCAGATTTATTTCCATTTTTTCTTGTTCAAATAGGTTCAATTTATGTTTAGTTGTTATTAACTGATTTTGTATTTTTGGTTTTTGGGGTTTTTTTTGTAATTGAATTTCTAATTCCTTAATTTGTTGTAATTTGTTTTGTTGGGCATATTTTCTTTTATTTCTCATAGCATTATAAGAGATTGTTATTCCTCTTATGATTGCCTTCATTGTATCCCAGATATTTTGTTTCGAAGTTGCTTCATTATCATTTTCCTTTAGGAAATAATTTAATTCCTCTTTCAGCTTATTAATATACTCTTCTTCACTTATTAAATGAGTGTTTAGAGTCAATCTTTTTTTTTTTTTTTCTCCTGCCTCTCCAAATTATATGAATTGGGTTATGGTCGGCTCATTCGTTTGGTAAAATTTCGATTTCTTTTATTTCATTTGCCAATTCCCCATTCATCCAGGCCATGTCTATTCTTGTCCATATTTTATGCGGGTTAGAGTAATATGTAAATTGTTTATCTTCTGGGTTTAATTTTCTCCATAAATCTACTAAATTTAATTCTTTCATCATATCCTTACAAGACTTAGAGAGTTCTATTTTCCCTTTTTTGTTCTTACTCGCGTTACTATGGTCTTTTTGATAGTCAGCAATAGAGTTAAAGTCGCCTATCATACAGATGTTCCTTTTTTCAAAACCTATTATTTTTTGGTGTAGTTCTTTAAAAAAATGTCCTTGTTCTTCATTTGGAGCATAAATTGCTACCAATAAAAATGTAACAAAATTAATCGAGATTTGTACAACCAGAGTTCTTCCTTCCGGGTCTGACCAAATTAAATCCGCTTTTAAGTCGTCTTTCACGTATATTGCAATTCCTTTCTTTTTATGTTTATCTGCTGGTGCCGTGAATAGCTTCCCTAGTTTCGGGCAAATTAAATATCTTTCATCATTTTTCCTAATATGTGTTTCTTGTAAACATATTATATCGGCGTTTTGTTTAGTTAGTTTGGTTAATATCCTTTTCCTTTTAGATGTTGAGTTTAAACCATTTATATTGATAGAAAGGAGTTTCTTTCCTTCCTCCATTTAACTAGGTCTGTTTCGCTTTTTGTCTTGTGATAATTCAGCTCTCTTCTTGTGGTTGTTGTGGGATTGGTTCTTCTCTCTCTTGATGTGGGTTGTCGTTCCCTTGGTTTGGGGGGGGGTCCTTCTTTTTTTATTTCTATAGCGATTTCGGTCTTCCTGCAGATTCCTTTTGGTTTCCTCCTTTGTGTTTTGCTCATCCGTGCCTACTAACTGTTCGTGGAAGTCTTGTGCGTGTTCCATAGAGTCTATTTTAATTTTTCTTTCTTTCCATGTTATTAGCATCCCTTCCAGGATTAACCATTTGAATGGGATTCCTTTTTTGTTTAAAGAATCGGCTAGAAATTTGTAATCTTGTCTTATGACCCTCACTTTTCTTGGGATTTGCTTAAGGATCATAATCTCTTTGCCCTTGTATGTTATTGTTTCATCTCTCGACAGTCTGAGTATTAAATCTCTCACACACCTTCTTGTGAAGCGGATGTGAATCTCTCTCGGACAATTGTGGCGTCTTGCGTAACTAGTGCTGACTCTATAAACCTCGTCGAATTCCTTGAGTAGATCATCTTTATCTTTCTCTAACAGTTCGGCCAATAATCCTGCCATTAGCTGCTCTAATTCTTCATTCTTCGATTCCTCCACGTTCTGAAATCTCAGATATGCCGCTGCTTTATCCATTTCTAGATGGTCCAGGGAATCTTCCGTTTCTCTAGTTACGTTTTTTTAATTCTTCGTTTACCCTTTCTAGATTCTTCTCCATTCGTTCTGTCCTTATCTCTATTTCTTTTATCATTGTTTCATTTTTTTCCATTGCCTGTTGCAGTGTCCCAATCTTATCCTCTACTTTAAGTATATCTGCTTTCATTTCCGCTTTTAGCTTTCCCATCTCTTTCTTTAATTAGCTGATGTCCGCTCTAGTTTCGTTATGGTTCTTGATCATTATTTCTTGCATTTTGGACATTGATTCTTGCAAAGATAGTAGGGTGGCTTGTATATTAGCATTGGAAACGTTGGGTTGTTTTTCTCCTGTTAAAGATTCTTCAATAGTTTTTTGAATTGTTGGTGAAGCTGATGTCAAGGTGGTTGTTAAGGTCGGGGTAGTCTTCCTTCCCGTTTTCAGGGCCGTGGTTGTTGTGGAGGTCATCTCTTTTAGAATTTGTTTTTGCTGTTGAACTATGTTAATTATATTATCCCAAATCACCATTCAGGGTTACTGCCCCTAAAGTAAGGTTTCAGGTCTAATTACTTGGATTACCAAAACGTGTTATTTTTGATTCTATGTCTTCAATCAGGCATGTAGTTTGCACAATCTATATTCCCGTATTATAGAGCGCTATCCGATACTATATAATATTCTCTATGATAAGTTTGTATGACAAATATAAATATGTATAACAAATAATATATCAAACCAAACCCAATTACAACTTTAAATTTTTTTTTCTAAGTCTATATAAACCTTTGTCTTATGCAATAAGTTAATATTGAATATTCTAAATCAGCAATATTTTACAATCCTTATTGTTGCTAATTATTCAAAGCAATCAAATCAATTAGCACTTAAATCTGTAGAAATCAGTATACCTTTTCTAAGTAAATAAATTTATCAATGTTATTGGGGGGGAAAAGAGAGAGAGAAAGAGTGAGAAGAAAAGGATTTACCTTAGCATCAGGAAATCAATAAGTAGAAGACAAGATATTAAGTTTGTGAAAATAATGCCAAGGTAGGATTCAAGAAGATAGAGTAGAGTGGTAAAGGAATAGAATTATAAGGTCAAAATTAAAGCTAAGGTTTTTTGGGATTTTGTATTTCTTTTCCGGCACACCGGAAGGAGGATGGTGGGAAGTGCTGACTAATCGCTGTCAACAGTCAGCCTTTCCCAGACTTCAATTAGTCTCTTTCTTCTTCTTTTTTCTTTTCCCAACACTTTTAAGTCCAATGTCCTAATCTCCTTCGCTTATTGCTTTCACCTCAATCCAATAGTGCTCTCCTCCCAATCGCTTAGAAGTCTGTCATACAAACAGTGTTAAATAGAGTCTGTAATCTTGTTACACTAAATTCAAAGAGTCAAAGTATCGCTTTCAGCGCCGCATTTCTTTCTCCTCCGTCGCCTCCCTCCTCTTCGGGTTTTACTTAGAGACTAATCCCACTCACAAGCTCGAGTCCACAAAACTCTTAATTTTCCGGTATTCTTCTTCTCTCCACAAACTTCTCCTTTCAGACGCTGTAATCGACACTTTCACTCTGACAATCAAGCCTTTCCACCCACGCTTGTCGCGCTTTCGCTTTTCTAGCCGCTTTTCTCCCTGGCTTCCGACAAATAGGGCTCACAATAAGGGAAAAGAAATCTCACGCCAGTCTCACTCTTCACTGCTGTAGTCTTTCTGCACCTCTTTCTACACCGATCTTACAGGCTGTCACTTTCTCGCTTAATCACGTCAGTGGCAGACCGGACTTTGGAGCCGCCATATGCTGGCAGCTGGATCTTTCGCGCTGGGCTCAGGGGCTCTTCCCTTCGTTGCCAGGAGGTTGCCTTCCCCCACACTGCAACCCGAGGGTCCCCTACGCCGACACGAATCCCTCCGGGGTTCGTGTATCCTCTGGGGATCGCTCCAAACGCAAGAAAAGGTATTCGAAAACCGCAGCTGGGCTTCTCCACCTCTGCACGTCCCTGTCCTGCCACTGAAAGTTCCTGCAATCCCAATTAAATTACATAAATTTTTTTTGAAGAACTAAATAAGATAACACTCAATTTCATTTGGCAGGGAAAGAAAGCTAGAATCAATGTAAAGGCATTACAAGATCTGAAGAGTAGAGGGGGATTTGCACTTCCAAATTGGGAATTATATTATATAGCAGCCACCTTATTATGGCTAAAAGATTGGGTGAACTTACTCAATAAAAGAACACTATTATTAGAGGGTCACGATTTGCAGAGAGGTTGGCACACCTTCTTATGGGAGGTGGGGAAACCCAAGCAGTCATATTTTCATAGACACCTTATTAGGGATTCTCTATTAACTAACTGGAAAAAAGTAAGGAAAAAACACTATCTAAAAGTACCGATTTGGCTATCAACAATGGAGGCAATGGTTCACCCCAACAATTTGGATATCTCAAAAATGATCAAATATAAAGATCTATTAGACTCACAAGGAAATCTGAAAACACGACAAGAATTAGAAGAATGAGGATTTAAAATTAAACCATTGGGCTTATCTTCAAATACACAGTAGATATAAACAAGACAATAAAGACTTTGGAATTTATAACCAACCTCAGCACTTAGATAAAATTTTATTAGGATCAAACAAAAAGAATATAACCAAATTTTACAAATACTTACTGGAAGCAGAATTAGAACAAGAGATAGTCAAAGGAAATATGATAGCCTGGAGCAAGAATATTGGACGGAGTATTACACTAACAGAATGGGAAAGGATTTGGAACAGAAATAACAAGATCACAAAATCGGCAGCCTACAAAGAAAATGCATACAAAATGTTTTATAGATGGCACCTTCCCCCTTCGAGGTTGGCGAAGATGCACCCCAACACGAGTCCAAAATGCTGGAAATGCAAAAGCATAGATGGAACTTTTTTCCACATGTGGTGGTCATGTAAGGAAACCCAGAAATATTGGCAAAGAATCAGGAAATGGCTGGAGGAGATAACCAAAGAACAAATCAAATATAAACCAGAGTCCTTCCTTTTAGGGATTTTTGACAAACAATTATCAAAAAAGACGAAATACATAATTATACATATCTTAACAGCGGCCAGGCTAGCGTTTGCTCAGTGCTGGAAACTACCCCATACACCCACTGAACAGATGATTATTCAGAAAATCTTAGACTGCGCAGAAATGGACAAATTAACTCTAGCCTTAAAAAACAGAGTCTTCAATATATTACAATAACTGGAATTCCTGGTATAATTGGTTAAATCAAAGATAGATTGTGCATAAGATAAACTTAGTCAAGGGTAATTCAAATATAGATACCGATAAAATGTGCGTATACGATATAACTTAAGAAGAAAAGATCTTACAAACTCAAAAATGAAGAAGTTTTTAATTGTTCACCTTCTTCTCTTTTCTTTTTCTTTCTTTTTCCTTCTTTTTTGTGTTTCCTTCTTTCTTTTCTGCTGGCCTTTCTTGGCTGTGTTATTTGTGTATATATTGTAGATGTTTTTTTTAATTGTAAAATTAATAAAATTTGTTTAAAAAAAAAAAGAAATAATGTACAAGTTTTTAAAAATATGAAAGATATTCAGAAGCATTGTTCTATACTATTTTCTATATGTCCTATTCAATAGTAGCTTTTTTCTTTTTGCTACTGGCTATTTTATTACACAATATTTTGCCCATCCCAATAATAATTGGACCCTCAGCAAGATATTCTATATTTGTTTTATGCTTAAACATATGAATCATATGCAATGAGAACATTAAAATATTTGTATAAATAGTAACAAAAATACTTTGATAGAAATCCAAAACCTTTATAATATTTCTGTACTGTTTCAAGTTTTGGGGGTAAAAATACTTTTCTGTTCTTTCTGATAACCACTATGTTTGAAGTTTCCAAGGTCATCCAAAGCTATAATTCTATGCAGATCCTATGTTGTGTTTTCTTTCATAACTGAATCAAAGTGCCGTTTTCCATCCAAATACAACATAGATTCTGAAAGAAAAGCAAGAATGTCAAGTTTCATAAGATCACATAATCAATTGAAAGCTCAGGGCTTTTTTATTTTTCATAATTTTCTTTACATATTAATTTTTTAAGCCTGCTATTTCCAGATAGATAAAACAAGTGTTCTCGTCTTCATCATAAGAATGCTTAATTAGTTCTTTAATATAAAATAATTTGTATAATACAAACTGAAGAAACTGAAGATCATTATAGAGGTGGTATAACAGATGAAATACTGAAAGTAAACTGAAAGCTGATTAGTATGCTATAGTACCAGATAAATGAAGCTATGAGAGAAAAAACAAGCAGGATCATATTTCTAAAGGTCACAACTTTTAAATTCATTGATTATAAATTAATTTTTTATTCACATAGACAGTGAGATATTGAAATGACTACTCACCACCGTATGTCTTGGGAACAACATCTGGTATTTCCTTCTCTATCATAAATGTGAAATGGAAGACATTGGTTGTATGGTGTACTCTGGTGTCTGGATCATACACTTCACTATGCACCCGAACCTGGATATTATTTTTTTCAGTATAACATACCTTTAAAAATTAAAAATTAGGATCACCTGGTTATTGGGTATAAACTTTCAAAAATGAATAAAGGATGCATGACATTTTATTACAGGTAGTCCTCCTCTATAACAATTTGTTCAGCAATAGTTCAAAGTTACGAGGATTGGTTACAACTGGTCATTGAAGTTCCAGCCATCCCAGCGCCTCACTGGTCATGTGATCACAATCTGGGCACTTGGCAACTAGTTCACACTTCCAACTGGTTGCCAAGCTCCTCGCTATTACATAACCACCATCTGCAACAAAGGTGCTTTTTCAAGAGACAACTGGACTTTCTGGTTTTTCTTTGAAGACATTTCACTTCTCATTCAAGGAGCTTCTTCAGTTTTGACTGAAGAACAATCAACTGGTGGAATAGCTTTCCTTCAGAAGTTGTGGGAGCTTCATCACTGGAAACTTTCAAGAAAAGACTGGACTGCCATTTGTCAGAAATGGTGTAGGATCTCCTGCTTGGGCAGGAGGTTGGACTAGAAGACCTACAAGATCCCCTCAAACTCTGAATGGAAGGATTTGTACTCCTTGTAGACAGCTGGTCATTTGCATTTTTTTAGAGAGTCATTAAGGCCTGGAGATTTATCTGTGTTATCAGGATCACCTGAATGGTGCAAATGGGTGTGGAGCCTTCTTGGAACTGTTGAAAGGACTGTGTTGTAAACTGGAGATAGATGATGTCATATCCCCCTCTGTTGAGAGAGGACTGTTCAATTTTGACATAGATGCCCTATTTGACCCCTCTTTCCTCTGTCCAAAATGTGGACTTTGCTGTCTCAAAAGAATGGCCTTTGTTTTTTAAATGCAGATGCACTGCTGAATCTAGTCCTGATGGGTTTGTTCTCCTATGTTGTGCCATATGTTTATGAAGTGGTTGTTTCCCCAATGTACAGATCTGCACAAGGCTCACTGTATTATACTGCATATAGCACATTGCTAAGTTTGTGTCGGGGTGTTTTATCCTTGGGGCGGACAAGCTTCTGCCTTAGTGTATTTTTGGGGTTGAAGTGTGCACATACGTTGTGTTGGCTGAAGATTCTCCTGAACTTTTCAATATTCCTGCAATGTATGGAATGACATTGCTTTGTTTATTATTCTCTTCATTGTCTGTTATACAGGAGCTCCTGTAGAGGTTTTTTTTGAGATTTGTTGAAGGCCCACTTGGGATAGACATACATTCTGTGAGCTTCCTTCAGTGGTGGGATTCAAATAATTTAATAACCGGTTCTCTTCCCTAATGACTGGCTGGGTAGGTGTGGCTGGGTGGTCATGTGACTGGGTGGGCATAGCCAATTTGACATCACTCACATGAGTGGTGCCTGCTTGGGCCAGGCGGGGTTGGGGAGGGACTCCAGGGGTCTCTGGTGGCTGGGGCAGGAGGAAAGAAAGAGGGAAAGCGCCCCGCTGGCCAGGCACTGAAGCGCCATCAAAGACGAGGTTTTTGTAGGCAGAAGAGCCTGCCCCACCCACCACCACCCAAATGCCCTTGCTTCCCCCAAATATTTCTTTGCCTACCTGATTTCCAGCTCCGTTGCATTTCTTGCAGTCGTACACAGGGAAACAAAAGTTTGTGGGACTAAAAAATCTTCTATCAATCAAATCCAACTTCTCACAACAATAACAACAAAAAGATCTTGCGAGGAGTGAACTTATTTTTTAGTCCCACAAATTTGTTTCCCTGCACATGACAGTGAGAAACACAACAGAGCTGGAAATCAGGTAGGCAAAGAAATGGGGGGAGCAAGGGCATCTGGGCGGTGGTGGGTAGAGCAAGAACCGTGGTGCTGCGCTGCAATGGAAAAATAGGCAACGGAGTGGCCGATGCAAGGGAAGGAAGAGGCCACTTTCCCTCTTTTCCTGCTCTTCCTCCTTCTCTTGTGCCGACCGATCGCTACATTTCCCATTTCTCGATTGGAGCACAGTGCCCAGGATCCACTTTGATAGCCGGGGGGGGGGGGGGGGGGAGGGAATAATTTTCCTGGCCAAACTAACCCCACAGTCTCTCCTATATTGGGCCCAATTTTGATCGTGCTGACAACTTAATTCCTCACCCCTCTTACTTTTGCCCGCAGACTGACCAACATCCCCTGTACACAGCTCCATGGGGAGGGGGGAATCCCTCCAATTCTTCACCTTCCCACCCAAGCTCTTGTGAGCATCAACTCCTTGTCTCTATGGTAACAACCCCCCCCCGTTCCTCGGAAACCTTGCCTCTTAAAGGAGCCACGTCCAGAAGGCTGAAACAGCTGTGAGACAAGCACCCTCAGAAACAGCCTTTTGGCAAAAGGTGGAAAAGCTAGCCATGCGAGGAGTGGCTGGGAGAGAGGGGTGGGGTAGGGCCAGCCAATGGTGGAATCAGCCAGCAGAAACCATTAGCAACTGGCTGAATCCCATCACTGGCTTCCTTGATACCTTGATTCCTTGATACCTTGATACCTTCCTTGATTCCTTGATTAGTTCTTTTAGCAAAACGTCTTCAAAGAAAAACCAGAAAGTCCAGTTCCCTCTTGAAAAAGCACCTTTGGGACAACCATGACCTGGATTACTGAGAATCCCCATAGACAGCATCTGCAACCTTTCTTATTGGCTTCTGCAGAAAGTCAATGGAGAAGACATCAAGGAAGGTTGCAAGTCACTGGGGAAGTCTTCCCCACCCTTATACTCTCTGCCAGCATCTCTGTGCTTGCATTGTGCCGGCCATTTGCACACACCTTGTACCCTCACACACACCCTTCCTCCCTCCCCAACCCCCCCCCAATCATTTACCTTACAAGCCAGCATGAGATTTGCAACTTCCTGCTGGCTTCCCCAATGACATTGGTTATAGGAAGTCAGCAGGAAGTTGCCTTACCTAACAATCATGTGCGGCTTAGTTAATGACAGCAACCATGATTGCAGAGATTGCTAGTGAAGCAGTCACGCAAATTCCAATTTTCATTTTAAGTGAAGGACTTCTCATATTTAAAGAAGATCAGTATTTATCCAACTTCTTAATGTTCAAAGATGGGAGTATTCCAAACATTTTAAAGTAGTTTGATCTATTAATATGTTTAGTCTATTACCTGGGAAGAGAGTAATAGTAAGGATCCAATTTCAACTGGTTTTTGAAACATAATATCATCTACAGCTACCACATAAGGTCTGGAGTTTCTGGTGTATGAAAAAAACAATGGAATCATGCATATTTACACATACACATATTTTTAAAAGATGTACATGTATTGCTTTATATTTTAAATTATATTCCATGTTAGAAACTTATTATGATCCTGAAATGTATTAATAAATAATATAAAACATTAGTACGGTATATAAAATAGACATTAATTATACATATTTTCCAAACTCTTTGGACTACAGATTCCCAGGTGTACATGTCAATCCAGTAAAAGAAAATCTGAGGGAATCCTCGATTACTGCTCAAATTCGTAACTGCTTACTGTAGTATACTATACACACAGTAGTAAGTATAAAGACTTCATTATTTCACTAAGCTATAATCAGCTTAAGCATCCAAGGAGCTGATTTTACAGTTCATAAGCTATTATTCAATAAGCTATTTTACAATGAGTAAAAATAACAACAGATATATGTTATTTAAAAACAAGGTGAACTATTAGGTGGAATTCCACAACCATTCAAATATAATATGATTTTCTAATAAAAAAATATTTGATTTATACTGCACTTGTTTTCCTTTCCACCAGTGCCAAGAGCATACATCCCTACATTTGAATGTAAAAATACATAATTGGTAACATCAGATGATATTAATAATTTCCTTTGTAAGTGAAACTTGATCAAATGCTAAAGGGTACACCTAAAAAAGAATGTCTCCAGGGAACAAGATCTTTGCAACTTTGTAAGATAACATAGACTCAAATTTTCCATCAACATAATCTACTAATTATCTGCAAATTATCCTTTCTCCTGTCTTTTCTCTACTGCAGCTCCCTATAGCTAGCAATAACTCTTAGCCTTCTTATCCCTCTGTTTCTCTGCACTGGTGATATTTGTTCCTTACACACTGTCTAGTAACATCATCAATAGCTATTGAATTTATTGCAATGATACTTGCTTATTTATTAAATAAATATTGTTTCTTACAGCTGCCACAATCTTGAATTGGTAATATTGACTGCTCTGTGAACCCAATACAGATAGTCTTTGACTTACAGCCATTCATTTAGTGACCATTCAAAGTTACAACAGCATTGAAACAGCATATTTATGTCTGTTTTTCACATGATCATTGCAGCATCCCCCTGGTCATATGATCAAAATTTGGATACTTGGCAACTGGCATATATTTATGTCCCAGGGTCATGTGATCATCCTTTACAACCTTCTGACAAGCAAAGTCAGTGGGGAATCCAGATTCACTTAACAACTGTGTTACTAAATTAACAGCTGCAGTGGTTCACTTAATTGTGACAAGAAAATGGGGTAAAACAACAGTCTTGCTTAGCAATAGAAATTTTGGACTCAGTTGTGGTCATAAATCAAGGATTATCTGTATCCTACTCAGAATGAGATGGGAAGAATTGATGGTGTCATCTCAGCAAACTGATTTCTGCCACACAGGGTCAACATATAAATAAAATCTCATTTCCTGCCTTCTTATGTTATACCCATATTCACTGTCATCTGACACAGGATTCAATTAGTATTGATAAATTAGTCTTAACTGTACTGGACCAACCTAAAATACTGTATATACTCGAGTATAAGCCTAGTTTTTCAGCCCATTTTTTGTGCTGAAAAAATCCCCCTCGGCTTATACTCGAGTCAGATTCCCCTCTGAAAAAAAAATGGTGTGGAGTCGCGGCCTCCGGCGGCAGCGACTCCCAACAGCCCCAGCCGGGAAGGGAAAGGCAAAAAGCGCTTTGCCTTTCCCTTCCCGAGGCGGCGGGACTGGGGCCGCGCCGGCGGTAGTGACTCCTGACTCAGGGGGCCTCCGAGGGAGGGGAAGAGAGTGACTCCTGCCTCCCGCTGTCATCATCATCTTCTTCTTTTGGGTTAGTGAATCAATTAAACCTTTCATGATAGTGAGATCGTTTCCCAAATTAATTATTTTTATTTTTGAAATTTACCAGTAGCTGCTGCATTTCCCACCCTCGGCTTATACTCGAGTCAATAAGTTTTCCCAGTTTTTTTGTGTAAAATTAGGTGCCTCGGCTTATATTCGGGTCGACTTATACTCGAGTATATACGGTATGTGAAAATATATCAGTCAATACAGTTACAACTGTAAAATCACATAGTGACTTAAAATTAAGTGGTTTTTGCAAAAATGAAAAGAAAAAGGCATGGTAGTTAATTTAATATAGTGTTATTGATTTATTTTCCTGTCTCTGCTCAAATACAGTAGCCGTGAGAGGGATTTGAAGTCCCAGTGGATGATCACTTAAACATGAACTACCAGTGTGCAGCAGCAGCTAGAAAAGCTAATACAATCCTTGGTTGTATAAACAGTGGTATAGAATCAAAATCATGTGAAGTATTAGTACTGCTTTTTAAAGCCTTTGTAAGGCCACACCTGGAATATTGCAATACAGTTTGGATCACCACATTACAAAAAAGACATTGAGACTTTGGAAAAAGTGCAAAGAAGAGCAACTAAGGTGATTAAAGGCCTGGACATTAAAACGTATGAAGAATGGTTGCAGGATTTCGGTTTGGCTAGTCTAGAGAAAAGCAGGACTGGGCGCAGGCATAATAGCAGTTTTCCAGTATTTGAGGGGTTGCCACAAGGAGGAGGGGGTCAACTTATTTTCCAAAGCACCAGAGGGCAGGACAAGAAACGATGGAAACTAATCAAGGAGAAAAGCAATCTGGAATTAAGTAGAAACTTCCTAACAGTGAGGACCAGTAGAACAGCTTGCCATCAGAAGTTGTGGGTGCTACATTACTGGAGATTTTTAAGAAGAAACTTGACAGTCACTTGTCTGAAATGGTATATGGTCTCCTGCTTGGCTTAAAAGGCCTCCAAGGTCTTTTCCAGTTCTATTCTGATTATTGATTGATTGATTTATCTTAAATTTTCACTCATTACCAAGGCTTATGCTTTGTATATTAGTACCTATAAAATTAGGCCAAATATATCTGCATCCAGCGCAGGAATGCTATAGAACAAATCATTCACAGCAGGGCTGTTATTGAATTAGGCAGCAAAAGGTTTTAAGTTCACACGCACACCGGCCTCACACCTTCCAAAAATCTTTCCATGGCTGCTATTTTTGCTAGCCATCCCTCTTTTCAGCATCTTCCTACCAACTTGCCTATCCCAATGGCTTCAGCATTTTCCCATATCTGCCACTGATATGCCCAGTGGCCCTCTCCCCAATCTTTCCAGCATCTTCCCACCAGCCTGCTCTCTCATTTTCTATTGTATGCTTTACAGATAGTCCTTCACTTACAACAGTTTGTTTAGTGATCGTTCAGAGTTACAACAGGACTGAAAAAAATGATTTATGACCATTTTTCACACTTACAACCATTGCAGCATCCCCATGGTCACGTGATCAAAATTCAGACACTTGGCAACTGACTCAATGGCGGTTGTAGTGTCCTGGGTCATGTGATCACCTTTTACGACCTAACAAGCAAAGTCAATGGGGAAGCCAGATTCACTTAACAATTGTGTTACTAACTTAACTGCAATAATTCGCTTAACAACTGTGGCAAGAAAGGTCATAAAATGGGGCAAAACTCACTTAACAAATGTCTCATTTAGCGACAGAAATTTGGGGCTCAGTTGTGGTCGTAAGTCAAGGACTACTTGTAACATTTTAAACCATGTACATTCTAGTCAATTCAGTTCAGTTTGAGAATGAGAACAGATGAGACGTGGCTTAAAGGGGGAAAGAGAACCTCTTATCCCAAAAGCCCGGGAAGAGATGCTAATGAGAAAGGAGATTGACATCGCTCTTCCCTAATACTCTGGCAATGTTATATTTCAAGTGAGAGGAAGAGAGACAGAGCCTAACACTTACCCATAGCTGTAGGCAGTAGCCCATCCAAGTTCATATGCTTTTCTCATGAGAAAGCCTCCAAAGATTCTGTTGAAAATGTTACGTTCCTATATTCACAAATATCCATAGGACAAATGAATTTTGAGCATTTACACAGAAATTACTAAAGACAGTGGTTATCAGACCCTCTACTGTAGTACAGTTACTTCCTAAAATGATAAATAGATTTCTTAATGATTTCGTTGGGGTTAGAGTTGGGCAAGAAATAAATTTACCAATTATTTAAATAATTAAAATTTAAGTATCAAAGGAATTTATAAACTTTATAAAACTGCAATTGCCCACAGGATGCAGACAAAGCCCAGGGGAGACTGACAGAATTCCCGTTCTCTTTGTGAAAATAGGTTAAGTTTTTTTTTAAAAAGTGACACCCTCCTCCACAGCTATTACGACTAACATATGCACACACAGAATGCCAAGACAGAGTATGAAAAATCCAGACAGTGTACACCTACATACAGCTCTTTGAAATTAAGAGCAATTTGTATTATTAGAATATTCCAATAAAAAATTCAAAGTGCAGAATCATGGACCTTCTGAAAACACAGAACCACAATAACCTAGCCAATTATAAAACAAGATGAGATAAACAAGGATTTATTCCATCTATCAACTGAAATGCTACTTTTGTTCTAGAAGAATTACATACCTGTCATTACTCTATGCAGAATGCCAAAATCAGCAGACACAGAGCATATAGTAACAAGCTAGAAGCTATTTAGTCAAATTTCCAGAAAGTTCTGCTAAAACCAATGTAGAAGCATATGAAGTACATAATTATGTTCTGGAAGGGAGAAGAATCACTGATAAGATCCATAGAGCTATGTTTGCATAATTTCCAGTAACTAGTTAATTCAAGTGCCTTTTTTTTAACCAATAAACAAGTTATTGCTTAAGAATCAGTTTGGTATAGTGGTTAAAACATCCAGTTAAAAACTGGATGACTGTGAAGTCTAGTCCTGTCTTAGGCGTGAAGCCAGCTGGGTGACCTTGGGACAGTCACTCTCAGCCCTGGGAATGGCAAATTACTTCCAAGAAGCCTTGCCAAGAAAACCCACAGAGTCTTGTCCACACAGTCCACACAGTCACCAGGAATCAACTCTAACTTAAAGGCACACACAGAAAAGCTATTGCTTAACTGTGCTGCTTGCTCCAAATAAGTTGTAGTATACAAGAAGTGATGCATATAATGTATGTCTTTATGTTTATAAAAAGTGCTAGTCTACTTTCTTGCAAACTTTTGTTATCTTCTAAAACAGAATACCTCAGGGCCATAGATTAATAAAACTACAAACTGGCTTTGTTGCAGTTAATTGGAATTAAGGAAAATACGCTTCAAATTGCTACCAGTCAGAGTTACAAGCACAAACTGGCAATACTCACATTATATATTTGGTGTTCATTTCTTGAGTAATATAGCTACAAAGTTTCTTTAAATATCAAGGGCAGAGAGAAATTAAATTTCTGAAGATGTTTCATGACTTTATGGTTATGAATATTTTTCAAGAAATCAAATTGCCAAATAGCTATTATAGAAAGTACCATATCATGTACCAATTTGAAGCAACAGTCAAACACAAGGATTAGTCTATATCAGCTATAGCTCAGTAAATACCTGTGGATGGCAGATCTCCAAACCCTTTAATTTTGTGTCTTCCATCCATACAGAATTGGGTAGCAATACCCGACTACGAAAACTTACTGTCCTAAAAGATGGAGGATACATAAATTTGTCAAGAACACCATTCAATCCCAATATTGTGAATTTCAATCTATCTAAGACTAAATGGATACCACTGCATCCACATGCTGATAATGGGAATAGGACCTTAGGTTTACCTACATATTTTACCTTGTCTTCTCTGATGCCTAAGCAAGATGGTCAACAATAAGGATTGATGGCACTGCAGTACAATATCTGGAGACCCCATATTTGATATAGATGTTGGCAAATCCAAGAACATCTTGTTATTCTTTCCCATCACTATGCTATAAACATATTCGGCTTTCAAACTGTCCCTTCTACAATTCTTCTCTATAACAACCATCTTGTGAAGTAGACTGGATCAAAGTTACATACTGTGCACTTAAAAGGTAAAGGTTCTCCTCGAACATACATGCCAGTTGTTTCCAGCTCTTACAAAGCCAAAGAGCCAACGCTGTCTGACAACATCTCCATGGTTATGTGGCCGGCATGACAAAACACCGAAGGCACATGGAACACTTACCTTCCCACCAAAGTGGTCCCAATTTTTCTACTTGCATTTTTACATGCTTTCAAACTGCTAGGCTCAGTGGCTAAGACACTGAGCTTGTCTATCAGAAAGGTTGGCAGTTCGGCGGTTCGAATCCCTAGCACCACATAACAGTGAGCTCCCGTTACTTGTCCCAGCTTCCACCAACTGTGCACTTATAACCAAATAAATTTAACTCTGACTACCTAATCACATTCTAACAGATAACTGCTGCACCATGCTGTCTGGGAGTCCTCCAAATTGTAATTCTAATATACATGAAATGCATCGAGTTTGGAAAATGTTTATAAAATGTTTATAAATGTTTATAAATGAACTCCCTACCTTGAATCCAGAGTATTCAGGAACATATTATGGATAATATTTCTTTCATCTGCAGTAGGAGCAACCTTCAGTAAAGAAGCCCTACTAGATTCAAGTCGCCTGATCTTGTTCTCTGATTAATGGAATGAAACATGTAAAATGAATGACAATTGGCTTCCAACAGCTTTATTTCATGCCTTTTTCAAAAACGATGAATAATACTTTTCTGAAATCTGTGTGTTTTAGACTGCTGTAGGTACCAAACTATTTCACTCCCAAAGAACCTATGTTTCCCCCAATTATTTAGGAATGGCCACAAAACAAAATTTCTCCATTGTCCCCTTCCAAAAAAACAACCAGGCTAAGAGTGTACTTACTTTCTCCTTCATTGAAGATTTTTTCCTCCTCTGGGGTTTCAACAATTAATGGATTGACAAATGCTGGTCTGAGGATATATTTGAAAAAAATCAAAACAATATGCATTACCGGGGGGAAATGAAATGTTTTGGCTGCAATCGAGCATAGTTAATTTATGCAGAAGTTCATTTGCAGAAATCTGCATGTTTACTTTAGTGTTTTAAAACAACTTTTTTTTCTTATTTCAACAACACAATTGATTTAACTTGAAAAGACAATGATCTAAAGAGGACAGCCAATGCAGTCCACTGGGACAGTGTAGCATTTCAGATCTGAAGGCAAAGCATGCTTCAGAGCATGCAGGGAAATGAAAACATAACATCTGTCTGGGGTTAAGTATGTCTACGGAGCCTACAATAGCTAAAAAATCCACAATAAGGCCCAGCTGCTATAAGGAATTGTAAATACTGTGGAAGCTACATTCATTTCCTGTGCACTCTCCTTTTTCCCTTCAATCTAAAATACTGTACAGCTATATACTCTGACATAATTTGGAATTTTGCACCATTCATTTTGTTGCTGCCTTATAGTTTTTATTGCCATTAATATTGATACTCCTGGTTTTTATCTTATATCTAGCTCTGTTCTGCTATTCTACTTTTTTTCTTTTTGAATTGACTTGAATTGAAATATTTTGTTTTATACACTTTAACTGGCCACATGCTACTCAGAGAACTCTAGTTAGGGCAAAATAAACAGTATAAGTAAACAAATAAGTCACCAAAACTAACATAATAGGTCAGCACCCTTAACATATTCTGGAGTCCTTTATAGTCTAGGACTGAAATAAATAAAATAATAAAATAAGCAATGAATTATTTTCAAACACATGTATGTTTAACACCAAAAATACAATCTTACACCTTTAAACATAGTTTTTTGCTACAGCTTTAAGCCAATTTCAAAACTAGCAAATTGAATCAATACCATTATGACTTATTGAATGAAAGGCAAAAATAGGATCTGAGAAGGAGAAAGGGTGAATGCAGAAATCAGAACTGCACTTTCCAGCTAGCCACAATACGAGTACTCGCTTAAAAACAACATACTTAGCAACTGTTCAAATTACAATGGGGCTAAAAAAAAAATTATGATCAGTTCTCACAATCACAACAGTTGCAGCATCTCCATGGTCATATGATCACAATTCCGGCTCTTGGCAATAGTTGCATTTACAATTGTTGCAGCATTCCACAGTTAGGTGATCCCCATTTGGAACCTTCCTAGTTGGCTTCCAACAAGCAAGGTCAATGGGGAAGCCAGCAGGAAATTGCAACTCATGGTCACATGGTGTCTTGCTTAGCAACCATTTTAGTTAGCAATAGTGCAATGGGAATCATTAAATGAGGACTACCTGTAATTGGAAAGTTACAGATAAAAATGGAAACATCTATACCTGACTGAACATAGTGGAGAACCTATGATATTGCTGAACCAGAATCCTCTGCTTCCCACTAGTAATGCAACCAGGAGCTGGTGGGGTTTGAAGTTCCACAGTAATTGAAGGTCAACAGGTTCATCACATTTGACCATCATTTGCATTCCTCTCTAAACTGCTAGGAACATTACCTTTTATTTTCTGGATCACGGGCCACCATGACAAAAGTTGCATCTAACACAGGGCAATAGATTCCTCCATCAAGTAACTAAAATAAAAGAATATGAGAGATGAAAAAAAAATGATTAGAATCAGCATCCAGTGATCATTCAATTAAAACTTGATATACTGTTTCAGCTCCTTCATGGCGAAGGGGCTTGCATAGCTCAATGAAGCTATGAGCTATGCCGCACAGGGTCACCCAAGACAGACAGGTCATAGTAGAGAGTTCTCACAAAACGTGATCCACTGGAGAAGGAAATGGAAACCCACTCCAGTATATTTGCCATGAAAACCCCATGGACAGTACCAAAAGGCAAAAAGATATGACGCTGGAAGATGAGCTCCTCAGGTCGGAAGGTGTCCAATATGCTACTAGAGAAGAGAAGAGGGCTAATACTAGTAGCGCCAGAAAGAATGAAACAACTGGGCCAAAGCCGAAAGGACACTCAGCTGTGAATGGATCTGGTGGTAAAAGGAAAGTTTGATGCTGTAAAGATCTATATTCCGTAGGAACCTGGAATGTAAGATCCATGAATCAAGGCAAGCTGGACGTGCTCAAACGAGATGACAAGACTGAACGTCGACATCTTAGGAATCAGCGAACTAAAAAAGGACAGGAATGAATGAATGTAATTCAGATGACCACTAGGTATACTACTGTGGGCAAGAATCCCTCAGAAGAAATGGAGTAGCCTTCACAGTCAATAAAAGAGTAGGAAAAGCAATGCTGGGATACAATCCCTGAAATAACAGAATGATCTCAGTTCGAATCCAAGGCAAACCATTCAACATCACAGTAATCCAAGTCTATGCCCCAACCACTGATGCTGAAGAGGATGAAATTGACTGGTTCTATGAAGCCCTAACAACACCTTCTAGAATTAACACCCCAAAAAATGATGTCCTTATCATCATGGGGGATTGGAATGCCAAAGTAGGAAGCCAAAAGATAACTGGAATAACGGGCAGATTTGGCCTTGAGAGTACAAAATGAAACAGGGATGCAGTAAAAGATGCCAGCAAATTTGGAAAACTCAACAGTGGCCACAGGATTGGAAAAGTTTAGTTTACACTCCAATTCCAAAGAAAGGCAATGCCTAAGAATGTTCAAACTACTGCACCATTGCACTCATTTCACATGCTAGCAAAGTTATGCTCAAAATCCTACAAGCTAGGCTCCAGCAGTATGTGGTTCAAGAGCTACCAAAGAAGTACAGGCAGGATTTTGAAGGGGCAGAGGAACTAGAGATCAAATTGCCAATATATGCTGGATCATGGAGAAAGCTCGGGAGTTCCAGAAAAATATATACTTCTGCTTCATTGACTATGCTAAAGCCTTTGATTATGTGGATCACAACAAATTGTGGCAAGTTCTTAAAGAGATGGGAGTTAATTGTCTCTTAAGAAACCTATATGCTGGTCAAGAAGCAATAGTGAGAACTGGATTGGTTCAAATTGGGAAAGGAGTTCGGCAAGGCTGTATACTGTTGCCCTGCCTATTTAACTTATATGCAGAGCATGCCATGAGAAAGGCAAAGCTAGATAAATCAAAAGTTGGAATTAAGATTGCCGGGAGAAATATCAACAACCTCAGATATGCGGATGATACCATTCTAATGGCAGAAAATGAAGAGAAACTGAAGAGCCTCTTGATGCAGGTGAAGAAGGACAGTGCAAAAGTTGGCTTGAAACTCAACATTAAGAAAACTAAGATCATGGCATCCGACCCTCTCAATTCCTGGCAAATAGATGGGGAAGAAATGGAGGTAGTGACAGATTTTATTTTCCTGGGCTCAAAGATCACTGCAGATGGGGACTACAGCCAATAAATTAAAAGACACTTGCTCCTTGGGAGGAAAGCTATGGCAAGTCTAGACAGTATACTAAAAAGCAAAGACATCACCCTGCCAACAAAAGTGCACATAGTCAAGGCTATGGTTTTCCCAGTTGCAATGTATGGCTGTGAACATTGGACCATAAGAGAGGCTAAGTGTCAAAGAATTGAGGCCTTTGAACTATGGTGCTGTAGAAGACTCCTGTGAGTCCCTTGGACTGCAAGGTGATCAAACCAGTCAGACCTAGGGGAAATCAACCCTGACTGCTCTTTAGAAGGCCTGTACTGAAGATGAAAGTCAGATGCTTTGGCCACCTAATGAGAAGGAAGGACTCACTGGAGAAGAACCTAATGCTGGGAAAGACTGAGGGCAAAAGAAGGGGACAACAGAAAATGAGATGGCTGGATGGAGTCACTGAAGCAGTAGGCGTGAGCTTAAATGGACTCTGGAGGATGGTAAAGGACAGGAAGGCCTGGAGGAACGTTGTCCATGGGGTCGCAATGGGTCAGACATGACTTTGCAACTAACAACAACACTTTCAGAATTGAACTGTTTTTTTCTATGGATACCAAAAAGAAAAAAGGCAAGGAAATTTAAGTAGAATACATATTGCAATATTTATTAAAAAGGGTTTATAAGTAAGATTCTCCTTGTCAATTTAATTGTGCCAGTCAAAAATCACATTCTCTTCAAACAGATCAAAATACACTTTAATAAACAAGGATATTACATTCCAGTTTGTACTTATTCCTTTTGAATACTGTTTAACTATTTGGCTAACCTGCCACAGGATTTTATTAAAGGATGCAGAATAGCTTGCCAAATGTAAGAATCTAAATTCAGACTCTTAGAGCAAATGAAGCTCACTATCATTAACCTGAAGCATGTGTATCTTCACTTCCATTGAAGTTTTTCCAACCCAGGAAACATTCCCGGTGAACTTGATATCACAATCCGGATGAATATGCTGCTTCCATAAACCTAAAAGGATAGAAGGGGGTCAGAGCACAGATTCTAAGGACTGATAATCAGCATTTATCTAAGGGAGGACAGTACTAATTTAAGAGATCAATTTCGGGTCAGCAACTTTTTCAAGCAGCAGGCAGCTTCATGCAACGTTGTAGTATCAATTATTTTCCACTGCACTCCTGCAACTCAAGCAAGAACATTGACCCTCTTGGTAATCTTGCAAGAATGTGGCCTTTTTAAAATGTTAAACACCATTATTTAATTTTCCAGAAAAAAGTAACATATCTTTTCTGTTTGTATAATACAATATCTAGCATATGTGATATAATGTCTAGCCTATGGAGTGATATATTTATTCAGTTGGACGTTTGAGTAAAATGGATGGGATACGTTCAAAAATGACATGTTGGCAACAAATATATATTCATCAGAACATGAAATCATTCCTGACTTCCGGTGGCGTACTTATTGATGACAGACCAGAGACCACGATTGTGCGCGGCTTTGATCCGTGCTTGCCTGTTGGATAGGTCCTTAAAGGACCGGATTCATCACACCCACCTCGTAGGGATGGGGGAAGAGGGGGAGACTGCCAGTTGGGTCGAGGGGAGACGCATCTCCCCTCCCTGGCTTGGTAAACTCCCCTAGAAGACAGGGAGAAGCGGCAGTCTTTAATGGCTGCCCTGAAGATGAGAAGCTTCCAGGACACAAGTTTGTGCTGGAGAGTGAAAGTGGTGAGCGGTGTGTAACTGGATAAAAGACTTTGAACATTCTTTTTGATAACCCCGAAAAGCGGAAAGAAAGAGCCCTCATTTGGAAGAGTGGTAGTGGCAAACGAGAAATAAGAGGAAAAAATAAGGTAAAGAAAAAACTGGAAATAAAAGAATTATATGTAATTAGAGACTAAATTTGGAATAACATACAGAATTGGACATTAATCAGGCATTAGATAAAATGCTGGACTTATTTGGAATTGATAAAATTTAATATTAATACTATGGAAGAGTGAATTAAAAATAAAAGAATTCTAAGAAAAAAGTGATATAGAGCACCACCTAAGGGTTAAAGATTTTCCTCTCTTATGTTTTTCTGGAAAATTACTGGTCGTATAAATATTTTGAAAGAGAGAAGAAATGGAATAAAAGATTATTAATATAACAAGATCCCCGGAAGCTTTATAAAAAAAGAGGAGGATTACAGTAAAATATAAAAGAATGCAATACTTTGGGACTGTTGGAGGTTCACTGTGACAAGAAAACAGAAGAAAGAGAAAGTGAGATAAACGGAGACATTTGACAAGGACTATAATAGAAAAACTTGACCTTTAACAAAAGAATTAACTTTATAATTATAATATAATAGATAATTATAAATAATTAACTTAATAGACCAAAGAAATGGAAGAAATAAGCAAAGAATTTAAGTCAGAGCTCCAAACTGTGAGAGAGATGTTTAAAGAAAGAATGAGCTGGTGGAGATAATGCTGAGTAAAGTAATAGCATCACAGCTCGCAGAAGAACAAAGGAAGCTCAGAGAGGACGAATTAAAAGAGGAAAATAACAGCCTTGATGAGTATGAAGAACAAGGACCATTGTCAAAGGACATAAAAGGACTTAAAACAGAGATATCAACAACAGAGAAAACAAATAAAAGAGATAAGACACCCAAGACTAAGAAGAAGAAGAAGGGAATATGTAAGAAGAAACCCCCAAAAAAGAGAACTGAAAGGGGGGGGAAACATGGCTGACAGGCAGGGGGAAATAAAAATAAAACTAGAAGGAAAAACAAAGAAAGACTGGGGAAATTTAGAAAAGGGAAACCTAGCCAAAATTAAAAGGAATGATAAAAGTTACGAGATTTAGAGATAAGGGTTAGGGATTGTATAAGGGGGATACCACATGGGAATGTATATTGGTATCTAGTTTAAAACTTGTTGGAAATTATTCTAGGATTATATAACTATATATATATAACTGTATATGAATTATGCTGTTATGAACCCTTACATTGGAGGATTAAAACAGGGGAATGGAAATGTATTAAAATATATAGATAAATTTTGGATAAGTGTTAAGGAAGAAAAAATACCATTATTAATGATTATAAGAAAAGTGAAAGGTATTAAAACATATAAATTTTGGCCAAGTAGAAAGTTGGAAAATATTATTATTAATGATTAAAAGAAAAGTGAAGATGAAATGAGATATATCAAGAAATCATTTTAGCAATTTCAGGGGGGGGATACCTTAAAATATATGTTTTAAAATATACAGTTGATTATTTAATGTTAATATGTTTAAAGTGGGGGAATGAATTATTAAATTAGATAGACTGAGGGAATATATCATGTGGATCTTAAATATATTGGTTTTGTCTTATTTTTACTCTTTTTACGTTGTTTATATTGGCCTAGGAAAAATTAAGGATAATAATGATGTGTAATGTTAAATAAAATAGGTGGTAAGCTGAAAACAGAAATAATAGGGGATAAAGAACTGGGAATCTATATGTGGATGAAATGATACTGAATTAATGAATTGAAATATGAAATGGAAACTTATTTAAAGATGAGTGAAATGGATAATGATATGAGATGATATTATATAAGATCGGTGGAAATGAAAATATGATTATGTACAAGTGTTATAATCTAGAACCACATTGCCCATGTAAAAAGATGTGTAAAAATTAAAAAAGTAAAAACTTTTTTGGGGAAAAAAAGAACATGAAATCATTCCTAAAAAATGTCATATAAAAGTGTCAGGATAGCTTTGTTTTCTCTTTTGCAACGTTAGAGTTTAAATCTCAGCTGTTTTTCACAGAATAACAGTGTGAACTTCCCAGACAGATATAAAGCCATTAATAATTAAACACCTACCAATTTTATCCACAAGTGCTGTAACAATTGATAAAGGAGATCTCAGAGTAGCTTCATTTTTTGTGTGAGTATAACAAATAAGAACTGTAAACAAATAAATAAACAGAAATGGTCTATTAATTCCTCTTAGAACTTATATATTTCTCCTAAGGATTGGTGGAAAGTTTTCACTATGATCTTTGCATCATCCAAAGACATTTTTAAATGTACTAAGTTTATAGACTACCTGCCTTATAATATGATTAAACAGAGCTCAGTCTGAAAAATTAAGATTAGTAAGGATAATTTATTTTATTTATTACAGTATGTAATATTGTGCAGTGGCTTGCCCTGTCAGTGTTGTTGGGGCTGTTGTTTTCTCCTTTGTACTTCCTTGGTTAGGCTGTTCTTTACTTCTTCCTTGTCAGAAATGGTAGTTCCTCAATTAGGGTATTAGGGTACACTAGGTCAAGCTACTATATACAAACAACGAGCAAACCCCACTCCATTCTAGCACTGAAGATGTTACCTAGTTGGGTAATGAAACTTCTACAAATGAACAATCAAGTTCAGAAAGTACCAAGGTCTTGACATATTCTCTAATATATTCTCTTCTATTAGTAAACAACTACTTAGAAATAACTACTTATAAAATAACATAGCAGGAAAATAACAAAAACTGCTGCCAAACTTTTAACGGACAATTGATTACACTGTTTTTTAATTTGGATTACACAGAACTTAATATTCTGCTTTCAGTTTATATGTTTGTTATAGAGTTTATACAAATAAAAAAGTGGTATATAAGTAATGAATTAATAAAGCAAAAAATTACATGCTCACTTATTCCAGAAGCATTTTTCACTGCTACAAAAAAATACATTAAGCAGGAAGTCACAATAATATTATCTGCACTTTTAAAGTTCTAAATAATTAACTCAATGTAATTCATTAAGCATAACTGCTTTCAGAATAGATGGGGAGAAAAAAATTCAAAGGTTCAAATTCAAAAATTCAAACCAATTTTTTGACCTTCATTCGCTGATCCCACAGAGACACTTCATTACCAATTTTCATCTTACCCAAGGAACGGGTAATATCAGTTCAAGTGGTTCCAAAAGAGAATAGCCAATTTCAAAGATATTCCTCTGCAGTATGTTTAATTAACAATGACATAGATATTATATTAATCCAAATGTGTTCATATTTTTCCAACCTATCAGATCACTAGAAAGAAATGAAATGATGTAAGTACCACATACCTCCTAAGCTGTCAAGGTCTTCAAGTAGTCGACCAAATCTAAAATATTACACAGTAATTAATCTGTATGCATTTTAGAGCACCAACAACCAAATGTTTTATTTTATTGAAAAATGAATAGTCTATTTTTACCTGACAGTGTTTTGCATATTGAGATATTTTTCTCTTATTTCGGGCTCACTTCCTAAAGGCAAGATAACTTCTATATAGCTGTCTTTCATTTTCCTAGGAGGAAGGTCACCCTGGGTTTTAGCAAGAAGTGTGTGTAAGGCTTTTCTTTCATTCATTGCTTGCACATGGTCTCTGGAGGAAGGGTAAAACAAAATCAGATTATGCCATGTGGGTAAAAACAATCAAACTTCAGTTTATCAGATTTCAGATACAATGGACAAAATCAATTTGTTGGTTTAGGCATGTATAAAATCTCATTTGCACTTAATTGGCATTTGAGTCTTATACACTCTTTCCCCCATTAGTCAGTTAAATCATAGGTTTACTCTATTAAGCAGCTACAGGATATTATTAATCTGCAATAATATATTGTAATGCATTCTTTCACCTCTAAGAAATGCAATTATACCATGAGATAGATAGATAGACAGACAGACAGACAGACAGACAGACAGACATACACATACAATATCATACCTCCAATTGGTGGATGCTCCCACTAGCTCTCTCAATTTACTTCGCACTGAAACAAAATAAAACCCAGTTAGAAATATTTAATGGGATAAATCTGACCAAGGTCCATTACAGTACTGCACTTTTGAAAAGCAGACATGTAAGCAGAAGTCATGCAAAGAATGGCTAAAAATCAAAAGCTGGCCAGGTTCACTGAGATTCCAATGAATGGTATATTTAATAATGAATGGATGCTTTATCATTTCTGTAACATTTAATTTTCAAAAAAATCCAGTTATCAAGAAAACTTATTTGTTTCTTTTGAATTTAAATTTCAGGCTACCTACTCCTTCATAAACCTGAATGGTATATAGGGGTTAAAAAAGAACAAAACATTATCGTTAAAACCATGAAGGATCATGCAAGAATATTTGGATATTGTGGCCTATTCTTGATTGTTGCCCAGCAAGAAAGGTTTGACATTCCAAAATAAATATTCAAATCACGTCACTGTATATACACATCTATACTCATTTATCCTGAAAGTGCAAGGAAACTTTAAACAAGGAGCAGGTTTACCTTTATATAGCTAATAGGATACCAATACACATCTAAAAATGCATACCTAGATTCTGTAAACGAATCAAATGCATTTTCTGATACATCTCAATCATAACCATCAGCATTTATGTTTTATCAAAATGTTACACTCTAACAGGAAAGGAACATTAAAATTGAAAACTTAGATTCTAAGGAAATATGGAAGAATCAGAAGGGAATAGCATCTATGGAAATGTGGAGTTAGATGAGAGTTGATATCTTTTTTAAAAAATTTATATTACAGTCCTTGACTTAATTCAGTTCAGTTAATGACAGTATGAAGTTACAACAGCATTGAAAAAAGTGACTTATGACTATTTTTCACATTTATGGCTGTTGCAGCATCCCCATAATCATGACATCAAAATTTGGATGCTGGGCAGCTGACTCATATTTATGACAGTTGCAGTGTCCTGGCATCCTGGGATTTCTTTTGCAACCTTCTGACAAGCAAAGTCAATGGAGAAGCCAGATTCACTTAACGATCATTAACTTAACTGCAGTGATTCACTTAACAAGTATAGCAAGAAAGGTAATAAAATACGGCAAAACAATAACAAATGTCCTGCTTAGCAACAGAAATTTTGGCCTCAAATTGTGGCCATAAACAAGGACTACCTGTAGATTGATCCAAGTTGTTTCTTTGTACCTTGAGTCCTATTTCATTCTACCTTCACTGTGTGTCTGTGTGTCCACATGCACATACATGCACACACAAACATCACACCTAGAAGATAACTGGTTAAACCCAAAGATTCTGACAGATTTTCTTTTTCTTTACCCTACTGTTTTCAAGCCTCAGTTCACTCCTTAACATTAACTGCATAATTCTTTATTTGAGTCAGAAGCACCTTCAAAGTATAAACATATAGCATTCAGCGCTGAATAAATATAATAGGTCATAAAAATATAGCAAATATAATAAGTTATAAAAATATAGCAAATGTAAAAAGTATGTAAAATAAGTTAAAACTAAACAACTTGTATGTTATTCTGAAATCTA